TTTTCCAGATCCTCTTTTGTTGCCAGTTCAGGGAGTCCAGGTGATTGCGTATCAGATTGTTCCATCTTGTTTCCCTTTGGGGTTGCTGTAGGTGATCCAGAAGTCTGTTTTTGAGGCTTGTTTACATGTCTTCTCATTTCCATGGGGTGGGGGTGGGGGTGCTTCTGGTGCCCATGCAGCTCACCTTCTCTGCCCTAGGAGCGTGGGATGGCAGTGGGGGAGCCTCTTCCCGGCTGCTGGGATTGGCTCACCTTCTCTGCCCTAGGAGCATGGAATGGTGGCGGGGAGCCTCTTCCTGGCTGCTGGGATTGGCTCACCTTCTCTCCAGGACAAATTGAAGAGCAAATTTTTCTTCCTCAGCTTGAGATGTCACACTAGGGTTGAAAAGGGAGCAGGCTTTAAGGACATCCATCTGTTGCTGATTAAAGTCGATGGCACTCAGCATTTGAATTCTTCATCCAGAGTCAGACTTCTCAGGCAGAGCAACCATTGGCTTTAGGGTTTGAGGGACATAAAGTAGCAAAGCAGAGGGAGAGATGAACCTCACATCTATCTAAGACTTTCTCCCAAAGGTTGCCATTGCTTCATTTCTTCTTTATTGCACCTATGTGTGTGAAATCTGGTTGAGCCAACAGTCTATTTTGAAAGCATACTTTTGCCCCACTGATACTTGCTTTGAAAACTCTTACTTTAGTCATAATCAGAGGGAAACAGAATGGTAAAAGTGATGCATTGCTGTGCCTGAGTCTGAATCCTCTTTCATCTCTATTGACTAGAGGTAACCAGACTAATTGCTGTTTATCCAAAGCTCTTGTGTCAAGAGTTTTAATCAGAGATTGACCTCATTGCAGGGCAGTGTGTTCATGTTTTTATGTGTAAGGGGGAGAAGAGTACAGATTTTCATGCAGGAATGAATATGCGTATGATCTTTAATATTGTCAATTTTATCTGTATGCAATTTTGAAACCTCATTTTAATTGTGTACAAGAAATCCACACTGTGTAACCATTTTGCAATATAATTTGGATTTAATACATTTTCTTACTTTGAGAAAAAATCCCTTAGGATTCTAGAAGACTCCAGTGTGCACCAAAGTCTGCTTTGACTTAACTGCTTTAGAGTTCCCCAGCAGGATGGCTGAGATACTACATTTCTATTGAGAACATTGCTGACATTCCAGTGATTAACTGTAATTCCTGGATTTTCACCCACTTTTTAAAAGTTTGATTCAGAAAAGAGAAACCCAGTTATGAAAACTTGTTGCTACTATCAAACAGCAAAAGCCATCTGCAATGTCATATCTAGTCCTTAAACAAGATTGAAAGAGAATTTTTGGTGGTGCAAGCCTATAGTTCCAGCACTCTGGAAGGCTGAGGCAGGAGGAGCACAAGTTCTATTCCAGCCCAGGCAATTTAGTGACTTAGCAAGACCCTGACTCAAAATATAAAGGTACAGGGTGGGGTGGGGATATATCTCAGTGCAAAGGCCTTAGGTTCAGTCTCCAGTACCATCAAATGTTCCGCTGGGTTCGCCTACTCTTCAGTGATGCCTATGGCCCCCACAGTCCGCCCTGTCCCCCCTAGACTTCTGCAGTGGTGACCCTTCATCTCTGTGGAGTTAGGCTTTCCCTCTAACTCTACTTGTGCATGACTATTTTGGGGGGGGGTATTTTTTTTTTAAATTGGTACCAGGGATCGAACTCAGGACCTTGTGCTTGCGAGGCAGGCTGCAGCACCACTGAGCTAAATCCCCAGCCCTGCATGACTATTTTTTAAAATGGCAGCCATTGAGCATGTTGGTCTTATGCTGAGTTTGCAGAGAGACAGTCAATTGGCTTTTTCATGCTGGGTATACTTTACCATTGCTTTTCTTGTTCTCAAATGATTATGTTTCTGTGTGGTTTGTCTCAGTCAGATCTTAATTTTCTAGTTGCATCTATATGGGTAATCGATGTGAAGGTGGAGATGGCAGCCAAGAATTCCCTTTCCAGACAAGAGAGCTGTACCAAGTGCCTTGATTTCCAGAGCCGGTATTTAGACCCAGGGTACAGTTGTGGTTCTTCCAAGTGCAATGAACCTATACCTCCTTATGTGTCCCTGATGACATCTACTTTGATATTTTCGAAGAATGGGGGAAGAATAATAGAAAAGGCTTCCAAGTCCTGTGAACATGAATTAAATCTTGAATCGTTCACTAAAGAAATGTGTGATCTTGGAAACTTTCTAAGCCTGCCTTATTAAATAAGTATAGCAGTAGCTCTGCTGGTGTGATATTATTGTATTAATGATCTAATGCATTTGAGTCCTTTATCTCTATTCTTAGTCCATAGTAAGCACTCAGTAAACATTACCTATAATTATTTGCTTAATGTACAAATTGAAAGTACTTTGTAGGAACAACCTATAATATAATTTAGGGTGCCTCAATTTATTTTGGAAAAACCTGTTTATGAAGAAATAACATTTTCATATTTTATACCTGTGGCCTAAAGTATTTCATTTGTATTGTTTTATGGTAAAACTAAGATACCATGAGATGCTGGCATAACATAATGCATTTTATTACATTGACTTATAAATAGTGTGGCAAGTTTGGAAATCCTTCTGGAATTTAGCATTTGCTACAAACAGCAAAATAATTTCACAAAGCAGACATGTTCAGTGAGTCACCACGCAGTCACTGTGGCACTGCAGATCTTCCTGGGACACCGTGCCAGGGCACAGATTCCAGGAAGGGTGAGGTGTGAGGCATTGTAGGGGAGAGGGGAGGGAATGAGGGGTTCCATATTAATCATACCATGACACATTGCTGAAGACGCAGCGTGAATTCTAGATGTAGACATTTCAGTCACATCTTTCATCTCTTAATACATTTCTCTGATTGTAAACCTGTCGGCCACTGTGGTTTGGGTTCAACGTGAGGTAATTTAGTCCTAGAGTTTTCAGTCTTCCCATGTGGAAGCCATTTTAACAATGTGCACGTATTCCTTTATCTGAAACTCCCAGAGAAAATACTTCCATTTCCATATCTGTGCATCGCCATAAATCATGCTGGATCTGACAGAGTGTGCCCAGAGCCCCTGCCAAGTGCTGTCCTTGAGGGAGGGACACAGTGGCCCCCATGAAGGAAATGTTGAAGAGTCCTCAAACCTGGATCTCACTTCCGAATATGCCAGTGATATCCCTCTCCACACTACCATTATCTCTTTAGTCAGATTTTATGTCACAAGAAAAATTACAGCCGTTATGCAAGTATCTTGGACCCTAACAAAAATTTATCATCACAGTTAAGGTATAAAAGTCAGACTTTTTTTTAACCAAACAGAAGGGCAGAGTGATTTTAGCTGAATCTCTGGAACAGCTCTGCTCAGGACTTTTCATGGAGAGAGTTCAGCTGGTTCTCCCAGGATCAGATCTTTCTTTGGAGAATATGGGAAAACGAAAAACTTAAAAACAAACAAAACCCCTCAAAATGCCAGTGTTTCTCGGCAGTGATTATCTTTATCAAGAGCTCTTAGTCTGGTGTGGTTGCCTAGTTCACAGTTAATCATGTTTCCTCGAAATCACTGGCATCACAAAACTTTCTTCAGCCCCGTTTACACCAGTGCTGTCCTCTTCACAACGTCCTCAGAGCTGGCTGTTTTTCTCTGATGATGAGGACTCTTAACTGGTAAGTGACCCATACTCAGGATTCTCCTGTAGATCCACCTTCAAACCAACAGTAAACAAAGAAGAAACTTAGTAGCTTTAATTTATTTTAGCCTTTTTGTCCCTTTTTGACTTGACACTAGGCTCAGGATAAAGTCACTAAAATCCTGATGCTGACAAAATGGGTAACAGTGGTGCTTGGGGTCATGTAAATTCATCTTCAAATGTAGTTGAAGATAATTATCAATGTAGTTGCAGTGATAATTATTTCAATTTTGATGATTCTTTTATATTCTTTAATCAGCGGAGCATTTTCCCATTGACTTTAATATCCTTAACTCTAGGAGTATCATGAGGTTGCTACCTTTATTCTGTGAATAATATTCAGTATTTAAAGTCAGTTTTGGGAATTTTTCCAAGTAGAGCTTTTCTGACATGCAGTGTAAACATTCTTGTCTTTCTGTATTTGACATGTTTTTATTCTATCAATAATTCAATCATGGTCTTTTCTTTTTCTTACAGTCTGATAGCAATGCAAGCTTTCTTCGAGCTGCCAGAGCGGGCAATCTGGACAAAGTTGTGGAATATCTGAAAGGGGGCATTGACATCAATACCTGCAACCAGGTAAGACATGAGCTGTACAATGAAGATGTAGTTCCAGAGCCCAAGGCTACTCTTCATTTTTACTGGATTTAATAAGATATAAGTGACCTGGCCTTATGCAGCTCCACTTGGCCCCTTACTAGTCTTTCAGGCATTAGATATTTGTATCTAGGGCTAATATCCAGGTGAAGTTGATAGGTAAAAACTTAACAAGTGAATATCTGTTTTGTCTGTGACATGATGTAGGCTACCTTTAGCTGGAATGTTGACCAAGAATGTTTTACTTCTCATTTATCATCAACTAGGAATCTAGATCTTGTTTTTTCCTTCTCTGCTATGTGCATGTTACTGAAGGGTGACTGATTATTAAAATTTGGGATAGAGAAATAAGAAAAATTAAATGTATCCCCCCTTTTATCTGTTTAGTTTAAAATATAGTTAGTAATGAGAAGGATCTGAAACTGCTATATTGGATTAAATGAAGTTTGGATTATTCATTCATCACATTCATACAATAAGGATTTTAGCGAACAGGATACATTTGAAAGTATTTTGAGAATTCTGAATATTTGAATTGAATGAGTTTTTGAATATTTTGAATATTATACATTTGCTTCCTAGAATATTGATATTTTGTGATTCTTTTACTAAGATTTTACCCTATTAATTAAAATGTCTAGAGGAGCCCCATATTCACTATAGTTAGTTAAATGTCATTGTTGTTGGTGGTGGTGGTAGTGGTGTTGGTGGTGTGTGTGTGTGTGTGTGTGTGTGTGTGTGTGTGTTAGACTTGCCTGGGCATAAATAATCCTGGCAAATTTTATGTTAGCAGAAATCATTATTTAACTCCAAATCAGCTATAGAATGTTTGGATTCTTTTACTGCATCCTAATGTATAGTCAGCCCATTTTCTTAAATTCATGCACCAATGAAATTAGTCTCTCAACCCTAACTTCTTAAAAACTGGCTCAGGTATCTTCTCATCTCAAAACTTAATTTCCTCCAAATTCTGCCTGCTTGTTTCCTCCCCATATATCAGTTCCAACCCAGCCTCTCCTCAGTTCCCTCTGGATGTTTTTTCCACTTCTAGACTCACATCAGCCCTCATCTCTTTGTGGTCCCTTGCCAAGGTGTCATAACAGCCTCCTTAACTAGGCTCTGTCTTGTCCACTCTGGTCAGTTCTCCTCACCATGCCTGAGGGATTTTGTGAAATAAAAATATGATTATGACACTTTTCACCTCCACCAAACTTCCTATTTCTGTGAATATCCGGAGACCATTGTATCATTGAGGCCGTTGTATCAAAGTCACCTGGAGGTCAAGGGTACAGAACTTCCCTTGCTCCTCCTGAGAGTCACTGGTGTGCGAAACACCCATCTTGTCTTTTAGGGCAGTGTGTCTCTTAGTCATGGAAGAGTACTGAGAGCTTCACCCTCTTGGCAAAGGCATTCTGCTGTGGTCCTGAGCATTCCTGCAGATACGTTTGGGGATAACAAAAGAACGGACAACTGTGGCACCATATTTAATCCGGGCCGTTTCTCAGGGTGGTGCACAAATTTCCAGGATTAGGCAACACCTCTCCCCAGACTGAAAGCAGGCTTGTGTCTGCTTCCCCCACATTCTCTGACCTCCTTTAACATGGCACACATGCACAGTCATACATCCTTGGTCCTTTGTGTCCACCCTGTTGGATTTCGTGGGAGGAGGGCATGGGAAACTGGCATTAGCAACAAACTCTTGACACTCAGCCACTACTTTTGCATTGTAAAGTCCTTGGTCTCTGACCCAGGAGACTTGTGAACTCTAAGCATCATACTTTTTGTAGTTCTTAAATAATGAACTATTAAGGGAAGATAAAGTTCCAATTCTTAACACTGAGCTATGGAATGCGGCCACATATCGTTATCTGAATGCATAAATCTTTGTATGCCATTCTTCATTTTATTTTCCACTATGCATCACTTTATCTGATATGTTTTCAATGTTCTTTGAACAAATAATTTGAATTTTAAACTGTATGAGTTACCTTAAGACAGAAAACATTGAAACTCCCATATGGATACAAGCAGTCACTCTATAAAATGCCTAAGAAGTTGAATACAAAACATTTTATAATTTTCAATGTTACCTTAGGTTTCTTTAAATACATTAAGTATACTCTCCAATTTCAATGTCAGTTCATTAACTTTCTAAAGTTGCAATATTCTCAGAAATAAGCAATGAAACTATTAGTTTTAGGCAAACATTCTGTTAAAAAAATACCAAGATAAAAGAAGGAATCCAAGAAAAATAAAGCCAGCATCATTTCAAACTGAATTTACCTCACTTTAAATTATAATAAACATATTAATTATGTGAAAGATCTTTTTTTGTAACTTCTGGTGTCTTTTTATTTTTTATTTATTTTTTGCTTTTGGGCACAGGCAGGTCTTCACAAATCTTAAGATCAAGTACACTTAAAAAGTACACTTTATAGACAAAGATCTTAGGGTTATTTTAAGAAAGAATAGTCTCTTAATGGTGTATACTCCATTCTTATGAGATTTATAGACCAACATAATATCTTGTGTTAGCTCAAGAAGTTTTAAACATTTTTTGGGGGTAGTGATCAGCCACCCATGAGCATGTCATCAAAAAGAGAAATATATTTGTTTTTCTAAAAAGGCAACATTATGTTATGAAATCTATGCAAAATTTAGAACCCACATGTTCAAGTTCAAGTTCCATCAATTTTTTTTTTAAGAATAGGAAAAATTTATTGAGAGAAAGATAGCTTCTGTCTAAGACAGAAGGGGGAGCAGAAAATGGGCTGCCCCAAGTTCCAGAGTTTTTGAGAAGTCATTTCAATTTAGAAAGTGGCATTTTTCTAATCTCTAAAACAGGGTAATAACAATATCCATGTGTTGCGATGTGATTTAAATTAGGAAATATGGAAGGGCTTTCTACAATTTATGTGTTCTGATTGCAATAACTATATCTGATTCACAAAGAATTAGAAAAATTAAAATTGAACTCTGCACAAACTATGAGATTAAATTTCCTCAATCATCCTGACCTACTAAGTGTATCAGAAGTTTTGGTTCTTTGTTGATATTCTTCAAGAAGGTATAGTAGAGCCAGAGGCCCTCCTGGACACCATCATTAAGGGTGCACGGGACCCAGCCAAAGGCCTGCCAGGACAGCAGCAGGGTGAGGGCATCCAGAAGGCCATCATTTTAAGCCAAGGAATTGGCACAGTGGTGAGCAGTAGAGAGAAGGCCTCTCCATAGCTTGTTGAGAATTGAGCCCCCTAGGAGAGCAAAGAGTCACCTCAATAAAGGTGCAGCAGACTACAGTGGTTGGTGAGTTGTTGGGGTCAACACCTCCTACCAGAACCAAACTTGTTTCGGGGGAAGGGGGACTCAAACCTGCAGAACTGTGCAGAGTTCAAACCTGAAGGAGATCAGGGAGCTCAGTTCCAGCCTTACAGCCATAAACCAGCCTGAACTTCAGTGGACTATGTATAACTGGTGCACTGAGATCAGTAGACACAGATCTGCATGCCACCCATGTTGTCTGCCTGGGACAACAGAGACATGCCTTGAAGGGGATATTTTTTCTTCTTTTCTTTTCTCCTCCTTCTTCATTTCTTACCTTTCTTGTTCCTTTTTTTTATCCTGTTTTTTCTCAATTATTCTTATTTTTATAGGAGCAAAATTACAGTTTCTGGTTTTTCTGTTGCTGCCAGTTAGTTCTGTTCTTGTTTTTGTTCCTTCCTTCTCTCTTTACCAGTTTCCCAAAGTTCACATGATCTTCCTGTATCCTCTAGCCTTACTTCTAATTTTTCCCTCTCCTTCTATTTCTCTACAAACCCCTTGCCCCCAACTCCTTCTAAATCTTTCCAGCGGGCAAACTTGCTGTATTGATGGGTTTATTTATTGCAAATATATTTCTGATTGGTTCTAGAATTTGATATATAACCACAAGTCTGGTTCATGTGGTCAAAGGTGGTAGATTAATAGTTGCCACAGTTTGTCACTTTCTAGTCTGTGTTTGATGCTATTGTTGATGCTGATTGTATTACTTTGGTCACAGTGATGTGGTTGTTCTAGTCAGTTGTCTTCTTGGTATACCAAGACTGAGATTGCCTAATAGCCATTATAGACTAAAAACCCAGAGGCCAACTAAACTTGAAAAACAATCTGAGAAGTAGCCATTCCCCAAGGGTTCTAAATACTAGCAATAAAGATACTTACAATAAACAATTTACAAGCAGCAACCCAGAAATTAAACCAAAAACATCATTAAAAACAACAACAAAGAATAGAAATGAGAAGAGATCTGAACAAGACTCAAAACCAGACTTGCAGATCACCAAAAGCAACTCCAAGGGGCAACCAGATGGAACAGTCTGAAACTCAACCACCTGGACTCCCTGAACTGGCAACAACAGAGGATCTGGAAGAAATAAAACCAGAAATAATTTCTCAGATGACAACAGAGATAGTGTCCATAGTGAAAGATATAATTAATAACTCCAGAGCAGACACAGATAAAAATATAGAGGAGCTCAGGAACATGATGGAATCCCAGCATAGGTAACAAATGGAATCCATAAAACAGATGCAAACAGATTTCCAGGAGATTGTAAACTCCACTGAAAGTTTATGCAGCAGAATGAGCCAATGAGAGGACAGAATGTCAGATATAGAAGACAGGATTGCAATTAGTGACCAGGAAAAGAAAGATTTCTTAAAAATAGCAAAGGACCCTGAGAAATCAATCCAGCAGCTGCTAGACGATGCAAAGAAGAATAACATCAGACTGATTGGAGTCAAGGAAGAAACAGGAGAGAGTGCGGATGACATAAAAAAACTGTTCACAGAAGTGATGGCAGAAAACTTCCCAAGCAGAGGAAAGGAACTTCACATACAGATAAGTGAGCCATATAGGACTCCACCTAGCCATGATAAAAAAAAAACAAAACCTACACAGAAGCATATAATAGTTAAGATTCCAGGAACCCAACAGAAGAACAAAA